GTCGTCAAGTGGTAGTCATCGACGTAGTCGTCGTCGTAGTAGTCGTCGTACTCTACGGCAGACAAGGGATGACGTCATCACTCGTTCAGTGCTTGCGATCACACTTTGCATACCGTAGTAGTCCTGAGCGGGCGCTGCCGTCGTCGTCGTCGTCGTGGTTGTCGTCGACGTCGTCTGCAATCTCTGCCTTCTTCTCATTCCGCGTTCGCGGTATCGATGAGTGTTCGTCACAGCCATCGGCGGCCGCGCGCGAGACGACGGCTCGTCGCTCCTGTTTTCTGGCGCCGACTCGCCGTCCAGTAAGTGGTCCGACGGTCGGAATGCGTGACCTCTGCGAGAGAGAGAGAGAGAGCGGTGACGTCACGACAGACGACAAATTGAACGACAGGACTGACCTCTGGTGGAGAGGCGACGCGACGTCCGGAGCGACGGCTGAAGAGCTGTTCCGCAGCCGAAAGACTGTCGCACGCTCTCTGGCGGGCGTCCGCTGCGACTGGAAGCGGTCGCAGACGCGATGTCCGCACGCGAGCGGCGACTGTTGGGCGACAGCGGAGACGACGACGACTTCGGGGGCGAAAGACGTCCACAAAAGCGACCAAAAAGTGAGCGAAACTGCGGACAAAAGCGCGTGAATGGCGAGTGACGTCATGTCTTGTACTCACAGCACGTGATTGTGATTGAAGTCATGTCTCGCGACAGAAGAATGAGTTTTTGACCCAAATTTGAGAGAAGAAGACATAAATGACGTCACAATTGAAACAACAATTAATTTCTAAACGTTTTCTAAAACTCTAACTAAAAATAGTGATCACTTCGCGGCCCGACCCGCGCGCCAACAACACCCTCTCGAGGCCTTCGGTGAGCACTTCGACGAACTCCATGAAGTTGGTCTCAGAGCCCAAAGACATCTTGCGCGCGATCCCCGGCATGTTGACGATCACTAGTTTGCTCTGGTGGCTCTTCGCCAGGATGTGTTCGTTCAGACGCACGGCCGTGTGCCTGAGGGCAAGGTCAAGGTCAGCTCAGGTCAAGGTCCACGTCAAGGTCACTCACATTCGGCGAACGTTGAGTTGCAGCCCAAACTCTAGCAAACGCCGCCTTTACCAAACGTTAAGCAAAGGCCGCTAGCAAACGTTCTGAACGCAGGAAACAAGGTAGTTTTACCACGCGAGCATCCACATCCGGCTGTGCAGACGCCCGAGAGGGGTTAATGACATCACATTGAGATCCATTGAGAGGTCAACGAACCCGAGTCCGACATTTCGATCACTTCGACGACGGCTTCGATGCGCAAGTGATACAAGAATTTCTCCAAATCTTTCTTCATTTGCACCGAATTGTCCTCCAATTGCGCGACTGTGAAGACGCGGAGCGCGCAGGAACGCCACGTGCGGTGTTGCGACAACACGTAGGCCAGGAGGATGAGCTGCGGGAGGAACGGGAGGTGAGAAATGAGAAAGAGCGCTCAGACGCCTACCAGTCCGCCGTCGTGGACGATCCACCAAATGTCGATATTTCCGCCCAAACGGTCGTTGTTTTCGGGCCACTGTTGCAGGCCTTTGGCGACGACGAGCGCGGCGTTCGCGGCCGTCACCGAACGCACCAATGAGAGGAAGCGGTTGTGTTTGTCACGTGATGTTGAGTGGCGCCACTTGTGCGGCCACGCGATCATCACAGTGTTGTGTTTCAAACCGCCCAAACCCGCCGTTTGCACGCAATGCGAGAGACCGGACGTCACGTCACGCGAGACCACGACTTCCGCGAAGCCCTTCACGCGCTCTCTGTCCATGTGGTGGCGCAGGGATTGGCGCGCCGTTTGCGCCAAACCAGCGTCCGTTTCGAACTGTCCCTCCAAAACACTCGACACAAGCGTTAATCCCTTTCCGGCCTTCAGTTGCGACGCAATTGTCAACAGTTTCGGCGCCTTTACGTCCAGAGTGTCGGCGTTGAGTTTCACGAGACAAAGGAGTTGCGGTCTCCAGTTCTTGGTGTGCGGGGGGCCCTCCTCGAGCCGGAGGAGCGAGAAGCGCGCGGCCGAGAGGGCGAGTCCGCGGATGCCGTCGCCCCACTCCTTCTCGGCGCCCCTGTACTCGATGTACTTGTAGATGAAGGCCGCGAGAGCCATTGCGCAGAGGGTGTAGACCCAGGAGGAGAGCAACATGACGAGGAGACAGAGGAAGATGCCGATGAGCGAAATGGACCAATGGAAGTACCGGAAGCGCGGACGCCACGACGGCGACCGCAGCAGCGACTGCACAGTGCACGCGAGGTTGAGGAACATGTAGCACATGAGGAAGAACATGGTGAGGATGGGAGCGATGAAGTCCAGGTTCCCGATCACTAGGAGAGAAGAGTAAGAAGCCGTTGACCACTTATGCCGCGACTACTCACAGATGGCGCACTCGGCGATGATGAGCGACACGACGATCGCTTTGACGGGTTCTCCGCGTTTGTTCACGTAATCGATGGGCTCTAAGAAGGGAATTATGGAGTCCTTCGCGATGGCCTGCAGAAGACGCGGCGCACCAATCAGTGACTGAAGCGCGGCGCCGAACGTCGACAACAGCGCGCCAATCAGGATGAAACGTAATCGATGGGCTCTAAGAAGGGAATTATGGAGTCCTTCGCGATGGCCTGCAGAAGACGCGGCGCACCAATCAGTGACTGAAGCGCGGCGCCGAACGTCGACAACAGCGCGCCAATCAGGATGATGAGGGGGTGGGGCCACGAGATGAGCGTCACCTGCGGTCGGGAGGCAACTGTTACTGCGGTTGCTATGGAAACGCGGCGGACTTACGGCCAGCTCTTTGCCGAGCGATTCTCCGAATTTGTCGCGAATGAAGAGCGGGTTATAGGAGGCGCCGAAGAGGAGAATGACTGAGAGGTAGACGAAGGAAGTCGTCAATTGCGCGCCGAGTGTTCCCAAAGGAATGGCTTTCTGCGCGTCCGCCAAATCGCCCGAACGGTTGCTTCCGGCGAGGATTCCGGTGCACGACGGGAAGTAAATGGCGACCAAAACCGTGAACGAAGACGTGATGTCGACGAAGATGTAGTTGAGTGCCGAGAGGTAGTCCTTCTGCGCCGACATCGACGGCGACACTTCGGTGGCCACGAGAGCGTCCTTTTCGCGGAACTTCGGCATCAAGTTGTCCCAAAAGACGCCGGAAGCGAGTCCGGGAATGGCGAGCTCGTGGTGGATGTCGTTGAGATGCGCCTCGAAGAAGGGGTCGCAGTGGAAGGTGTCGTTGCAGAAGATGCGCCGAAGACCTTCTTGCGAGCAGTTGAGCGAATTCTTGTCGGACAGAACGCGTCCACCGATCGTACAGATCTTGTAGTCCTGAATACCGGCGTAATTGACGAAAATCCCCAAATAGATGGACGCAATGGACACGAGGACACAGAGGAGGGCAATGGGCGCGAACTTGGAGACAAAGCGGACGCCAATGAAGACCAGAAATCCGATGATAATGAGGAAAAGCGTTCCGTAGATCCGGATGTTGTGGTAAAGGATGTCTTTGTTGGTCTCGAAGTCGCCGAAGAGCGCGAACTGCGGACACAAGTAGTTGAGCATAATCTCGACGGCGCCCGCGATATACATCTGTGGAGGGAATTGATTATCGATTGTCGATAGCGATGGCGACGCGACTCACGGCTCCCGCGACGGAAGTTCCCAAAAAGAAGAGGATTCCGACGGCGCCGCCGAACTCCGGCCCCAACGAGCGCGAGATCATGAAGTAGGAGCCGCCGGCCGGAACGATGCCATTGGTGGCGATGGCGGACAGCGAGATGGACTGCGGGAGGAAAGGGTTATCGATATCGATAGCGATAGTATTGCCGCTTACGGTGCAAAAGGTGACGGAACAGCAGAGCAGCACAATTGCGAAGAAGGCGGGCACTCCGGCCGTTCCCGTCATCCAAGTCATGCGGATGAAGATGATGACGCCGAAGATGTTCTGAATGCACGGCAAGTAGACGCCAGTGAGGACTCCGAGGTTGGCCTTCGGCTGCGCGGCCGACGCCTTTTGGTCGGCGTTCGCGTCGACCGGCGGCTGAATGGCGTCGTCGTAGTTCGCGAGGCGTGACAGGAGAGACGACACGCGGCGGTCCTCGTCCTCCGAGAAGAGAAACATCGCGTTCTGGCGGTCATTGGCGGCCGAAAAGGTGTCGTCTGCGGGAAGAGAGGGCAGAGAGTGAGTGGCGGCCGCCGAGAGCGACGCAAACCTTCTTCCGACGGCAGGGAGACAATGAAAGGCGACATTTGCTGCTCATTGGCGGCGACTTCGCCGTCCGTTGCGCTCATCTCCTGGTCCTTAATGACCGACACTTCGAACTTAGGAACGACTTTGTCGTCTGTCATGTCGTCTGACGTCTCTTTGGCGTCGTCTCAGCGATCGCTTCACACTTACCCTCACATGTCGTCGCGTCGGCGCTATTCTCTGCGCGCGTCGACCCATACGACTGCGTCTGCGTTTCGGCGATCGCAGAGTCGACGATCAGCTCCCGGTCCTCGCCGTCCGACCTCTTTGTGACCAAAAAGCGCGACATTGCGTGCGTTGGGGTGTCTTCGGGGCCAAAGAGTGGACACAAGAGTTGTCTTCGGCTTCTCTTCAGCTCTTCTCACGAAACGAGTCAAGAGTTGCGTTCTTTGGCCGACAGATGGCGCGCACGACAAGTGAGTCATCAGTGAATCGATTGTGAAATTCGACGCAAAAGACGTCTCCAGACGACAGACGACGACAAATGGACGCGCGATAGACATGAATGTCGTGTCTCTGGCGGACATCCTCTCGGCCTTCAACGCCTCCATCAACGAAGAGCAGTGTTGGGCGCTCTGTCACCAAAGTCTGGTCGCCTTCCGCCTCCACTTCGCCCCCGAAACGGCGGCTCTGGTCACCGAAACGCGCCATTTGTTGGTCCAAAGCGACGGAACGGTTCTCCAGAAGTCGCTGTCCGACGGTCTGAACGCAACTCGCGTTTTGTGGTCGCGTTTAACGCATTTTCTCTCCACAGATGCGTCGCTGCGACCGAAGGCCAGTTCCGAGAGCGAGGTTTGCGTCCATTGTTTGCGTCTTTCGTCCGCTTTTCTCACTTCCGCTTCACTTTCAGGTCATCTCTTCGCTCGGAGTCGTTCTCTTCCGAGCCCTCGATTACGGCCTTCGCGACGACGAGGAGCGCTCCCTTTCGGCGCCTCTCGAGGCACTCATCGACCGCTTGACGGGCGCGGCGGCCGACGACGAGGCGCGCGACGAAGGCATTGAATGCGAAACAAGTCTCAGATCTTCGCTTACCTTCAATGACGTCATTCAGGTTGTCGTCTGCGTCCCAATCACGTGACTCACACCACTCTCCTCCCGATAGATGTGTTGCGCGCGAGTGTCGGCCCCGGGAGCCGCCGAAAGCCACTACCGGGCCGTTTGTCGCGCTCTGGTGGCCGAGACGCTGGAACTGACGGCCTTCTTGGAGCAGATCCAGCGCTCGGACACGTCTTTGCCCGCAAAAGACGAGAAGGCCGTCGCGGAGTGTCTCGAACTGGGATTGGATGTCCAGGATTGGGCGCGACTTTGGGTTCACGTGATTCGTCAGCTCAGAGATGGCGTCCAATTGCGTGCCGTTCCCGACGACGAGCGACAGACGACACTGTCGTCCGCCGACTACGAGTTGACGCCTTTCGAGCGCCTCCTAAACGACATTCGCTTCAAACGCTATTCACTCAACAAAGTGGAGTTGGAGGAGGGGCGCCTCCCGCCCAAAGACGCGCATGCGCTCATCCTCGACTTCATCCGGTCGCGCCCCCCTCTGGTGCCCGCCTCCCGCCGCCAACTCGCGCCTGCGCCCGACCGCCAGGAGACGCTCTACGAGAAACTCATGCAATCCATTCGACAACAACACAAACTGCGGCCAACGCCCCGCCCGCCCACTCCTCCCCTTAACGGTCGGTCTCTTCCCGTGTCTGCGTCCGTGTCCTCCTTCTAATGTCTATTCCTCGGCAGTGGAGACGTCGCGGACGCGAATCTCGGACCAGGAGTCGACGCCTGCGCCGCAAAGACGTCTCATTAAAGCGAATCTCAATCTCAGGCTTTCGTTCGAGTCTTTCGACGACGAAAACGACGACAAAGACAACACCGAAGGCGACACTCACGTCAACAATGCCGCCGACGGCTCCAAGTTCTCGCTGCGAAAGCGTAAGAATCGGTTTCCATGGAGACCATCAATACTAACATCTGTCGTCTCTGTGTCGCAGTGTCGCGCCTTCTGTCGCAAGAGCGCCGCCACTCCATCTCCGTGTGCGAGAGTCCGCGCGACCCGCCGCTCGACGTGAATGAGGACGCGCGCCAACACGTGGTGTCGATCTGGGAGTCGTGCGAATGGGGGCGCGCCCTCCAGTGCCTCTCTCTCACCCTCCAGGAGGTGCAACACATTCGCTCCGTTCTGACGAAAGCGGAGTTGGAAACGCTTGCCGTCACGAAAGACCTCCGCCACGACCTCGAGAACGGCAAGATCTGCTTCACGTGTCTGAAGACGCGCTTCTCCTTCTTCGGCCAGTGGCCCAAAGCGTGCAAACTCTGCGAACGCGCTATTTGTGACCGGTTTGTGATCCGCGAAGGGGTTAATGACCTCTGAGTTAACTCATTGTCTCTCTTCAGGTGCGCCACCAAAATGCACATTCCGTTCGCGCACTTCGACAAAGTGCCCATTTATATGCTGTCGCCCACGCCCTCCCCTCCCGACCCCCACAGGCCCTGGCCCGCCCCCACCGAGACCGCACCCCCACCCGAACACAGGCCGCAGATGGAGACGACGGCGAAGAAGCGGTGGCAAGTGCTGCGCGACTCATCCGATCGCGTGGTTGTGGACGCGGGGCAGCGGAAGGCCGGCCCTCGAGAGCGCGTTTGTCGCGACTGCAAGCGATTGGTGCGCCATCTCATAGACACGGGAAGCGCTAACTGGAAGTGACGTCACTCTCGTCTACCTCTCTGTACATAAACTCTCGTTATATTGTATTCGTTGCCAAATGTGTTGAATAAAACTCGACGTCATTAGTGAACAAAGATGTCGTCCGCAGACAACACGCGTCGTCTCGAAGGCGACGTTGAGGTCACTCTCGGAGACCAAAAGCTCATCAACCGATTCGCGCGACTCAACGCCAAGTGTGAGGAACTCGAGGCCGACCTCTCGGCCGCCGAGCGCCGACTCGAGAACTCTTCCGAAGCGTTGGACGAGTTGGCGCTCGAAGACGAGTCGGTGTGGATCCGTTCGGGCGAAGTGTTTGCGCGCATGACGTCCGACGGCGCCCAACAGTGGATCGAAGGGTTGCGCCGGGAGTTGGAGAGCGCGACGAAAGGCATTCGCGAGTCGTTGGCGACGATGAGGGCGGAGATGACGACAATAAAGGCGACGCTTTACGCGAAGTTCGGAAACAACATAAACCTCGAGTACGACGACGACGACGAGTGAGGGCGGGGTTGGGCGAGGAGTCGGGGGAGCGCTGGCAAAGTCGGGGGAGCGCTGAGTGCTTGACAGCGCAGAGCAGTGGAGAGACGCAAAGCGTTGCGGAGAAGTGCTATTCTGGGCGTAACTCTCGCTCTCGAGTCGAAGCACAAGAACTCATCGATACTTTTGACGCAATGTTCCCCTAATTCCCGAAATCTTCCCGAACTCTGACCCGATTTGCGACCATTTCTACCGATAATCCAAATAAAAGTCTTTCAATCGCTTTCTCTTTCTCTCATTCACTGCCAGCGAAAGCCTAACACAAAGCAAAGCGCTGGCGATGAGCGCAAAGCAGAGCACAGGGAGGACAGGGAGGAGGATGTGGATGTGAGGAGAGCGCGTGCGTGTCTCTCCTCTCAGCACTTCTTTCGCATCCTTTTTGCGACCATTTTTTTGCTTTCCATTCGAGAATCCATTTTCTCTTTCCATTCGCGCCTTCTCTCAATCTTTGGCCACTTTCGCCGCCGAAACCCAAGCCGTCGCCAAAGCGTCCATTTTGTGCTCATTTCGCGCGTCATGTCCGCCAAAGAGGAGCTTCGGTGAGTTCTTGAGTGCGCTTTTGGTGGAGAGGAAAGGGAGGAAAGGCTGCCGACGCCCATCACAGCACTAGAGAGCGAGAACTCAGAGACACAATAGCGGCCGGAATCGCGGGAATCTGCGGAGCGATGGGGTGCGCGATGTCCGCCGAGGAGAGGGCGGCGCTGGCGCGCAGTAAACAGATCGAGAAGAACCTGAAGGAAGACGGCATTCAGGCCGCCAAAGACATCAAACTCCTTCTACTCGGTCTGTGGTGCAGAGTGTGGTCTGTGGTGTAACTGTCCTCTAACTGTGGTCTCATTGCAGGTGCGGGCGAGTCCGGCAAATCGACGATTGTCAAGCAAATGAAGTGAGTGCTGGCCTGTGATTGGCTCAATTTCAATTAACCCTCTCCTCCAATCAGAATCATTCACGACTCGGGATTCACGACCGAAGACTTCAAACAATACAAACCTGTCGTCTACTCGAATACCATTCAGTCAATGGTCGCGATTCTGCGCGCAATGCCTAACCTCGGGATCGCGTTTAGCGGCAATGAGCGCGAATCGGACGCCAAAATGGTCTTCGATGTGGTCTCGCGCATGGAGGACACGGAACCCTTTTCCGACGACCTCTTGGCCGCCATGAAGCGCCTGTGGGTCGACCAGGGCGTGCAGGAGTGCTTCGGCCGCTCCAACGAGTACCAGCTCAACGACTCGGCCAAATAGTGAGTTCGCGCCCCTCTGACCCCCCGCTGACCTCTGACCCCCTCCCGCCCACAGCTTCCTCGACGACTTGGACCGCTTGGGGCGCAAGGAGTACATGCCGACCGAACAGGACATTCTGCGCACGCGCGTCAAGACGACGGGCATCGTGGAGGTGCACTTCTCCTTCAAGAACCTCAACTTCAAGCTCTTCGATGTCGGCGGCCAGCGCTCCGAACGCAAGAAGTGGATCCACTGCTTCGAGGACGTGACGGCCATCATCTTCTGCGTCGCCATGTCTGAGTACGACCAAGTGCTGCACGAGGACGAGACCACCGTGAGTGCCGCAGAGTGCGACCCAGAGTGTTGACCCCTGACCTGACCTCTGACCCCTTTCCCCCCACAGAACCGCATGCAGGAGTCGCTGAAGCTGTTCGACTCGATTTGCAACAACAAGTGGTTTACCGACACTTCAATCATTCTGTTTCTCAACAAAAAGGATTTGTTCGAAGAGAAGATCAAGAAGTCGCCGCTCACCATCTGCTTCCCCGAGTACACCGGTAGGCCTTGAGTACACCTGACCCTGTTCACTGTTCACTGTTCTACCCCTCTCTCTCGCCCGCAGGCGCCCAGGAGTACGGCGAGGCCGCGGCCTACATCCAGGCGCAGTTCGAGGCGAAGAACAAGTCGACGACCAAAGAGATCTACTGTCACATGACGTGCGCCACCGACACGACGAACATCCAGTTCGTGTTCGACGCCGTCACTGACGTCATCATCGCCAACAACCTGCGCGGCTGCGGCCTCTACTGAGTGTCCGCTCAGAGACGGTTCGGAAGGGGAGCCGCACGGGACCAGACATCGGGTTGTCATGGCGACCCTGTATGCAGTATCTGCACCTCTTCTCAGTCTCTGAACCGAACTCTTGATGTCTTCTTCGGTGTGTTTAGTGTCTCTGAACTCTTAGACTCTCTTCTCTTCTTCTCTACTCTTCTCTATTGTTGTCTCATTCGGTGTCCATCGAAGCGGCGGACGCTCTGCGGCGCCGCGCACTTCGGCGTCCGTTTCCATCGCGACCGCCGCCGACGCAAACATCTCAACGTCTTTACTATACGAACGCATTATTGCACGAGAAATACATGTAAACTATAATTCAATAAACAATTTATCGATAATTCAAAACAAAACGCTTTTATTATTTCAAATATAAGACAAGTTTTCTTTCACTCCTTCTTCTACTGTATTAAAGATTTTCGTTTTACTCCTTCTTCTTCGGTGCGTCCAAACTCTCCGCCGCCTCCTTCGCGCGCTTCGCCCTCTTGCCCACCAGTCGGGCGTTAGAGCGCGCCTTCCGCAGCGAATGGAAGGCCGAGAACTTCTTCTCCTCTTCCGTCGGCGCGCGCGCCCTCTCGCTCTTCACGTACGCCTTCCCGCGACGCACCGGGAGAAGAGTGCCGACCAATTGGTGCGCCAACTTCTGCTCCTCCGCTGACGCGTCGCCCTTTCGCGGCTTCTTCGCGCGGATCGGGAACACCACCAGTCTGTAGAGAACAGGCATTACTCTCCCACTCTTTCATCCCTTTCCTCCCGTTCCTCACCTCGACTTGTATTGTTTCAATCGCTGCACATTTCGTTGCAAACTCTCGACGGATCGGTTCACTCTTCGGTGGTCGACCGCAATGCCGATCGCTGTGGCAAACAAACACACATTAGTACACGACTCTCACCTCCCGTTCTCCCAACCACTCACTGGGCGCCTCCCTGCGCGCGATGCCGGCCGCCTTCAACTCCTCCAACGAGAAGCCTCTTCCCAACCGAACCTTTGAGTTGTATTTAACTGACGGACAGTTGACGACAGGTCTGAGTCTTTGCGTGGGTCTCGGGGCGATTCGCGCGGCTTTGGCGACTCGTGTGGCGTGTCTGCGCTTCTTGCGCATCGGCTGCGCGAACCACGTCTTGACAAAGCGCTGCCAATCCTTACGGAAGTGTCCGTTTGGAATCATTCCCATCCGTTTTGCCGGCATTTTTGCGTTTGTTGTCTGAAGAGAACTCTCTTCGCAATCAAATGTGAGTTCAAAAGGAAGCGGATGTCGACAACACTTCACTACTCTATTGCAATGCAGCGAAGGTTTGGGCCCTTTGTATGCCTGAACAGCACTGCAGAGCTCGCTGTTTTCGCGGTTTTCACGCTTTACTCTGTGTTTACTGCAGTTTTTTGTTTAAATAACTTTACTTCCCTTTTTTCCTCTCTTTACTGCTTTAGATACTTGTCAGGCTTCTAGTCAACTAATTACTTCTTTTGCGCGCAATCGCGTCCTCCACGGCCTTCAACTGCTGCAGCAGTTCTTCGCGCCGCGAGACCGTCGCCATCAGCGACTTGGACTCGTGTTTGGGCGGCGGAGTCGCGGGTTCGGGCGAAAGCGGAGAAGCGGTCCTTTACCTAAAGCGCCAGCGAAAGCCGCTGCTGACGCTGCTGTCCGCCAGGAGGAGAAGCCCGCCGCGGAGGTGAAGCGCCGGCGGCAAGTCAAAGACGCGGTGGCTTTGCAGAAAAACCTCCAAATGTTGCTTTTGGGGTCAAACAAAGAGTCAGTGCTTTCTCTCTCTCTCTCTTCGCTTACCTTCTTCATGAACGTCATCTTTATGGGCGACTTCTTCGGCCCCTCCTCTTTGGGCGGAGGCCGCGGGGGCGCCACCTTTGCTCGCTTGGCGTTGGGCGGGTCGACACTTCGGGCGTTCTTCGCGCCCTTCGCTGACCTCTGATTGTCCGCCGATTGGTCGGAATCCGAATAATAGCTGGACATTGATTCGTCGGATTCGCTCAAAGACTCGCTCCACGAGTCGTACTCATTGTTGGCCTTGTCTTCAGTCGGCGCCGGCGCAGACGCTGAACACAAACGCGTGTAAAAAGGGCTCAAAATGAGGCGTTTAAGAGTGGAGAAAACCAGGGCTTCGCGCAGAAGAGGCTGTGACAGAAGGCTATAGACGCCGCAAAGCTGCGAAGGCTTCTGAGGCTTTTCCTGAGGCTCGGGAGCCTTGGGCTCTTCAGCGACGATTCCGATCCCGACGCCGATATCGAGGACATGGAGTGCGACCTCTGCGTCCGCGCGCCGTCCACTGGACGCCGCACTTTCGTGGCCGTCGAGGGCGCCGTCGGCGGCGATTTGGAGCGACGCCAGGGGTCGCGGAACTGCTCGGCGTTGGGCCGCGGTTTGGGCGGTTGCCCCAGCAACAAGGTCCCCCGCCTGAGCTTGCGGTCTGCGGCAGAAGCGAGCATAAGCAGCAGTAACGCGAGCATCAACAGCCCTCTGCGGCTGAGGGCCGCGGGTGGCGGCGGCGAGCTCTGTTGGGCCGACTCCTCGACTCCCAAATGGAAGCGCTTGTCCTCGAAGTCGAGTTCCTCTTCTTTGCGTCGCGTCGCGCGGACTATCATTTCCTTCGCCTGTTTGAGGCCGCGCTCCCACGCGCTCTCCGACTCGGCCGCCGCCCCTCCGCCTCCGCCCCCCCCATAGCCCCCGAAGTCGCGCTGTGGGCGTCGCGTCTGAGGCGGCGGAGGCATTGGCGGCGGCGGGAGATTCGGCGCCCTTTTGACGCCTCCCGACGGGTGAACGAAGCGACAGTTGTTACCCCACGTGCCTATTGGGAGACAAAAGGCATACATATATGAGACTCGAGTTCTCTCTCTGGCTCTGACGTCACCGACACTGTCCTCTGCCATAAAAGCGACAAATACTGGTCGTCGTCCGTGTCGTCCCTTCCGCCGCCCCTTCCGGCGCCACCACTCGCTGTCGTCCCCTCTGGTCGTCGTCTTCGTCGTCCTCTTCCTTCACTTCTCCCTCTTCGAGGTCGTCGTCGTCGTCGAGCTCTCCTAAAGGGACACAAAGAGGGCGTCAGAGAAGACACTCTTCTCTTTGAACACACG